CGGTTTAGTTGCACCAAAATCGATTCAGTTGCATCCTCAACTTGTGATACTCACAAGTGCACGAGTTGTTGGGTAGTATAACATGTGTAAGCGCAAGGTTAATCACACAAGGATTGATGATAGATTTATTCATTTCGATTCCCTGTACAAAATAGAAATTTGGTGTTTTGATTAGGTAAGGAAAACAGAAACTAAACTTAAATGACGAAAGTAAACACGTAAATAAAAGACAAAAATAACTAACTCAAGCAAATCAGTTAACAAGTTCAATTCAGATTCACGAATTGCTTCTAGCTAAAGTATGATTAAGCCATGGTGTCTGGTCCTAACCTTGTATTCCTAATTCCCTAATTTGATCCTCTATTGTCGAACCTAAAATTAAGCATTAGAAATCCATTAAGCATAGAAGAATGTTTTAAACAACCAAGCATGTATCTAATTCCTGTTGTTGAATGTCCATACATACTATTCCTATTCATAGTTCAATTCGAATTAAAGCATATGGTGTCTACTCTTAATTCAAACCAAGATAGTTAACATACAAATTTTAATGGTGATCAATCATTTAAACTAGTATATTTAAACTAGTATATTAACTTAATGGGAAAATTTAGCAAAAGGATTTTGTTACAACAATTGAAAACTTAAAGGAAAAACTAATGGTGTGTTTGGATGCGGTAAAATAACTCGGGATTTTAATAAAAGTCGGGATTTGGAGCGTGGAAAAGGGAAAGTTCAGAGTTTGGCAAAATCAACTCAGGATTTGCCAAATTACACGCATAAAATATCGTGGGAATTGCACATCTAAAATCCCGAGTTGAAATTCCATGGTAATAGGCGGAATTGTACAATTCCCAACAGAGAGGGAATTGTCATCTTCTGCCCGCGATCCCACAATTTTCAGCCCGCCAAAATTTTCAGCCCACGATAACCCATTCCTTATCGTTGGCCTCTTTTTGGTCTGCTATATTGTAAGTCATCTCTCTCTCTATTAACTGCAAACGCCTTTCTTCCTCAAGCGCCTCCAACTTTACGGTAAGCCCTCTCTCTCTCTCTCTCTCAAGTGTTTTCTTCTGGCTTCTCTTTCTCTTTTTCTCTGAATCGATGTCCATATTCAAAATTTGTTTAGTTTGAATTCCTCTTTGCTTTTTCTCTGATTCTTCCTTGAACTGAATCTGTTTCTTGATCATTCTGGAAAACAAGACATGGGTTTTGCATATTTTATCTATTTTTCCTTTTTCAGTTAATTGAATTTTATTTACAAGATAATAATTCTCTGTTCTTCTCCTTGTGCTTGCCCTTGTTTGAATTCATATTTGTGTTTGTATTGATCGTATCGTTGATTAGTTGGAATGGAAAGCAGTCTCTATCACGTTCTAGAAATATTGATATATACTCCTTATTAGAAATATTGAAAAAACTCTCCACAAGTGCACACTTCTATGTAGGGCTTTTCGGTTTATGTTGCCCAAGATTGCTTCTTTAATTGTCAGGACCTGTGCACTCAGCCTCAGGCTCTCAATATGGCTCAATAGCATACAGTTTAGTAAAACAAAACGAAGAATGTTTCAGTTTCATATCACCACTTCCACAATAGAGGTGTTGAACATCACTTGCTCTTTGCATCAGAATTGATGGATATGTGTGTATATATACACATTTTTTTAAGGGCTCAGCTGGCCCTTAAGTATTCCTGGAGGCGGCTCATAAAGAGATCAAAACATTTTTATGCTTCAGCTGGAAACCACGTTTGTAGTGTTTGTTAATCTTCTAAGTCTAATTTTGTAGGTTTAGTTTCCTGTCTCCTTTTTCAATCAAACTTTTGGGTTTGCATAATAGTTGACCAATTCATTGGTTGTGCTCTTCACTGATTGTTGACAAGGGATCATAAATGCATGACTAACAGTTATGATGTTAAGCTGAGTGCAATAAGTTGTTATTGGAAGGTAGCATTCCCTAAAATTCTGGTTCAGGGAAGTTATTCTTATTCATTTATGAATTACTTTCTGAGTCTTTTGCCAAAAGAAAAAAAGGAGTCAGTTTTTCTCTCCGAACTGTAATTATTTTTGTTTACTTGAAGGAGATTTCAAACTGCTTTCAAGAATTTGCATATGCTGTTTAGTTTTAATTTCCTATTAGTAGCTAATTTCCTATTAATTTCTCTATTCCCTGTTTTGGGGTTTTTTGAATACAACATGAATTTCAGACCAAAAAAAAGAAGAAGGAGATTTCAAACTCTTGAATGAAGTGAACTTAAACATAATTATAAGCTTGACAGTTCAAAATTGTTAAAGCAAGAGATGTTAAATCATTAGGCATATCCTTTCTGAGTTGTCTTATGTTTAGGACACAATTCATTGCATAGTGTTAAATCATAGGAGCTACACTGTGATTTGGACATCCTGGTAACTGTGAATAATTGTTTCCCCTGAACATTTGTTGTTGCTGTCGTATTTATGGGTTGAGAGCTTAAATTGTGCATAGTAACAAGCGTGGAAGAATGATATCTTAGTTTCAAATTTTCTCCACAAATGCCACCGAACTCATCCTCCAATATTTATTGGAACCTGCTGTTCCTTTTTGGTATCTTGCTGGCCTCTTTTTTTATGTGTGTGATGTCGAGTCATATTTTTTTAGGTGAAGTAGATTACTTACATTATAAAATTATACACATATAAACAGGCATGGCTAGTGATGATGTAGATAACTTTTTGGCCCATTTAAGTCGCAAGCGTGCTAGAGATGAAGAAGAAAATAAGAAGAAAATGACAATTATTCTTAGTACCATTACATGTATCATTGCCATTGTTGGAGCATGGTATAATGAAAATTATTTGGTTAAAGAGCCCTCACATGATTGGGATGAAGAAAGGCGATGTCGCTTGAATCGTTTGTATAATGGGAAGGAAGTTGATTGTATTGAACAACTACGAGTCAGTAGGAAAGCATTTCAAAGCTTGTGCACTATTTTGCATGAAAAGGGTGGATTGGCTCGGACAAGAAATGTTTCAATTGAAGAATCCGTTGCTACCTTTTTAAATATACTTGCTCATAACTTGAAATTTAGGGTCATTGGTTTTGACTATTATCGTTCTAAGGAAACAATTAGCCGGCAATTTAATAGTGTGTTGCGTGCAATGATGAGAATTAGTCAAGAATATTTGAAACTTCAGCCATGTGATATTGGTGGTTCAGAAAGAGACAAGTGGAAGTGGTTTGAGGTAATCTTATAACTTTAGGAAAATATGTTCTTGTTATAATGTTACCACTTATCTTAAAATTATTTCTGTTTTTTCTTCTTCAATGTCATTAGAATTGTATTGGAGCACTTGATGGAACTCACATTCCAGTAACAGTGTCTGCTGAGGATAGACCAAGATATCGAAATAGAAAGGGCGATATTTCCACCAATGTTTTAGGAGTTTGTGATCCAGATCTAAAATTCATCTATGTACTATCTGGATGGGAGGGTTCTGCTTCTGATTCTCGTGTTTTGAGAGATGCTTTGGCCAGGGATAATTCGTTTCAAGTTCCAAGTGGTAATTTTTTATACTAGTTGTTAAATAATCAAAAACTTAGGTATAAATAACTAACTTTTCTTTTAAACTTTTTATATTGTAGATAAGTACTATCTTGTGGATGCCGGCTATGCTAATGGACCTGGTTTTTTAGCACCTTATCGAGGAACTAGATATCACTTAAATGAATGGATTGGAAACAATCGTCCTGAAAATTACAAAGAGTTATTTAACTTGCGTCATTCAATTGCAAGGAACGTAATTGAAAGGTCATTTGGGTTGTTGAAAAAGCGATGGAGTATACTACGTACACCTTCATTTTTCAACATAAAAACACAAACTAGGATTATAAATGCATGCTTTGTGTTGCATAACTTCATTCGAATCGAGCAACAGAATGACCATGTGTTACAAGATCAAGATATGGAGTTTTTAGCTTCTGTGGATCATGAGATATCAAATCATTCTACAGTAGAGGGTAACACAAATAGGATTACAAGTGTTCAAGTCACTGATCAATGGACTACTTTTCGTGACACATTAGCAATGCAGATGTTTCTTGATTATCAAGCACGAGGCGCCACTAATTCATGATTTTCAGTCATTATATATTAATTGAGTTGGAACTGTCTCAAGTTAAATTTATGTATGGAGTTGTAAACATTTGAATCATGTTTTTTCTTATCAGTTTTAATAAATGTGTACTCTTCTTTATTGATCGTTTTTTTTCCTATTATTCAGCTTTATGTGTCTATTTTGTTATATATGTTAATCATTTTTTTATGCAAATATATATTGATCATATTTATTAATATTGTTGTTGTAATCATTTTAAATACATAAGATGGCAGAAAAAGTAAACAAAATAAAGCAGAGGAGAAGAAAAGACAAGCAAATTAATGACACTGAAGGAGATGACAAAGCCTATTTTCGATGGAATATACAAATGGAGCGTTCATTGGCGGATATACTTAGAGAAGAACGTCAGATCGGTCACAAAGGAGATGGTGGTTGGAAAGCAGTTGCTTATAACACCGCTGCTGCCATATTGTCTGCGCAATTTGATATTGAAGTAAGTGCTGATAACATAAGAAATCGTGTTAAAACTTGGAAAAGGTTTTATGGTATAGTCAGTGATATATTAAGTCAGAGTGGATTCAATTGGGATGCAACAAAGAAGATGATCAGTGTAGATGAAGACAATGTTTGGGATGAGTATGTGAAGGTAATTTATAATGCAATTATATCTTTTTGTATGACTAAAATTGTGGTAAATAAATGGTTAACTTTGATTTTTTGCTTGATAGTCTCATGAAGATGCTAGAACTTTTCGATTTAAAGTGATTGCAAACTGGGATGACATAGTGGATTTATGTGGCAAAGATAGAGCTACGGGAGAGGGTGTGAAACATGTGTAGAAGCTGCTGAGGTTATGACTCCTGAGAGTGATCCCAATAATATTGTTGATTTGGAAAGTGATACTCAAGGTTTTGAGAGTTGTCAGGTTGATGATGTTTCACCCAGCTCTAGTTGTCCAAAGAGAAACAATCAAAAACCTTCTAATATTCCCCCATTAAAAAAAATAAATAAATAAATAAAAAAGGTGGTACAATTAATGTTCTTGTTGATTCAGTGGCTAAAATGGCTTCATCTTTGGAACACTTTATCAATTCTACTACACAAAAGCTTGATCCAACAGAAGTATATAATGAAGTCATTGCAATTCCAGATCTTAGTCCAAATGAACAACTGAAGGCATGCTCTTGGTTTATAGAAAATGAGAAACAGTTTCTCATGTTAAAGACAATTCCAACTGAGAGAAAGAAGGGAATGGTGTTGATGTTTATTTCACCAAAAGCGTAGACACATTTTATATTCAGTTGACATTTTTAATTTTTGCTATTTTGTTGAAACATTGGTTGGGATGATTAGCTTCATTTTTTT